TTTAATATTTTAATGAGCCCACCCATTCTAGTGTGGAACCCATACAAAGAATGTTTTTCTGAAGAAACTAGAACTATCACTAAATGTGATGAATACCCCCACAAGACTGCTTCGGAAATGAGGATGTTACTAGTAACAGAATACCTTGTAAAAGAATTGAAATATAGAGTTATGGTTGTGGGCAATTAAAGATAGTTGTGGTTCTTGTATATTGCATTTCCTTTCAATGTGGTTGACCATTGAAGAAGTTTTATTGAATTACTCTGTAATAAGTCCAGAAATACAAAGAAAAGGAACAAAGGGCAATAACTCTATAAATACTGAAGATGTAGTTATAGTTCTTTTGCACTGCACTTCCTCCCTCTTTTTGTGCTTGACCATTGTATGAAGTTGTTTTAAATTTCAACCAGTACATTTTAAGTTATGCTCCAGACAAGGAAAAGTATCAAAGGGCAGTAACTCTGTATTTTGTCAAAATGGAGTTATGGCTCTTATGCACTGCACTTCCTTTTAATGTCCTTGACAACTGTATGAAGTTGTATTGAATTCCAAACAGTAGTTTTCAAGTTATGCTCTGGACAAGGAAAAGTAACAAAGGGCAATAACTCTGTAATTTGTCAAGATAGAGTTATGGTTCTTGTGCACTGCACTTCCTCTCAATGTGCTTGACCATTGTATGAAGTTATATTGAATTCCAACCATTAGTCTTCAAGTTATGCTCCGGACAAAAAAAAAGCAATGGAAAAGTAACAAAGGGCAGTAACTCTGTAATTAGTCAAGATGGAGTTATGGTTCTTGTGCACTGCACTTCCTCTCAATGTGCTTGACCATTGTATGAAGTTATAATGAATTCCAACAATTAGTCTTCAAGTTATACTCTGGACAAAAGAAAGCAATGGAAAAGTAACAAAGGGCAATAACTCTGTAATTACTTTAGATAGAGTTATGGTTCTTATGCACTGCACTTCCCCTTACTGTGTTTGACAATTGTATGAAGTTGTTTTGAATTCCATCCAGTAATTTTCAAGTTATGCCCCGTACAAGGAAAAGTAACAAAGGGCAATAACTCTGTAATTAGTCAAGACAGAGTTATGGTTCTTGTGCACTGCACTTCCTCTCAATGTGCTTGACCATTGTATGTAGTTATATTGAATTCCAACCATTAGTCTTCAAGTTATGGTCCGGACAAAAGAAAGCAATGGAAAAGTAACAAAGGGTAATAACTCTGTAATTACTTTAGATAGAGTTATGGTTCTTGTGCACTGCACTTCCCCTTATTTTGTTTGACAATTGTATGAAGTTGTTTTGAATTCCAACCAGTAGTGTTCAAGTTATGCCCCGGACAAGGAAAAGTAACAAAGGGCAATAACTCTGTAATTAGTCAAGATAGAGTTATGGTTCTTGTGCACTGCACTTCCTCTCAATGTGCTTGACCATTGTATGTAGTTATATTGAATTCCAACCATTAGTCTTCAAGTTATGGTCCGGACAAAAGAAAGCAATGGAAAAGTAACAAAGGGCAATAACTCTGTAATTACTTTAGATAGAGTTATGGTTCTTGTGCACTGCACTTCCCTTTATTGTGTTTGACAATTGTATGAAGTTGTTTTGAATTCCAACCAGTAGTTTTCAAGTTATGCCCCGGACAAGGAAAAGTAACAAAGGGCAATAACTCTGTAATTAGTCAAGATAGAGTTATGGTTCTTGTGCACTGCACTTCCTCTCAATGTGCTTGACCATTGTATGTAGTTATATTGAATTCCAACCATTAGTCTTCAAGTTATGGTCCGGACAAGGAAAATGCAACGGACGTCTTGACCGACCGACCAACCGACCACCGGGTGACTCCTATATACCCCCCCAAACTTCGTTTTTGGGGGTATAAAAAAAAAACTCCTTTTTTGTACAGTGAAACCACCTTAATGCCTGTTGGTTCAAACAAGTGGTTTCACTGTTAGAAAATGACAAAATATCTATTGATAGGCACAAAGGGAATGAACAACATCAGTAGCTTCTAGTAGTATCTGAGATCATGGAAATCATTAATTATTATACAGGTTCCGGAAAGGGTCATGTTTCTTCAGAGGGAGTCAGAATATTAAAGAAAAGGGTTAACTTTTTTTGTATTAACTGTGGTGGGGGAATCTTTATTCTATGATGGTCACTTTACTTCAAACACCAGAAGCCTTAATGTTTACAAGGTCATGATTTCAAGTGTTTCAAAGAACAATTAGTAATGGATGTAACATAAAAAACTAAAGCATTTTGACTAAAAATACAAGAACAATTTATGTACTGAAACTACCTAAGTTACATGCCAGTAAGTCAAAACATTGACAAAAGAAGTTTTTCCATGCATTTTTAAAAGAACATTATAACAAAATGGAAAAAAAACAAGAATTCACATCTCATATCTTTTCTACTTAAAGCTAAAAGAGAAAAAAGGCCTTTTCATTTTTCTGAATCAAAATTAACTTGTTGTTATTTTTTTCATTCTGCAATTAAAGCACAGAACAAATATAATCATGTTTCAGGAACAAAATTGTACTTTTTTTACATTTTTTTTTATCAGAATCTAAAAAAAGATCTCAACTTGATAGAAAGCTGAGATAATTAACATTTCAACCAGCAGAAATTCAATCAATTGTCAACAGAAATAAATGGAAATGTTGTTTTTATTGAAGGAACTTGAATGCAAATTTTCATTCTGTTTTTTATTGAGAGCTGTTAATTTCGGATACTAATTGGTTTGGATTGCTGCGTGATGTCATGTCCATGATTTCCTCGAGTTACGACACTTTTGATTTTCATGGACACTAAATTAATTTCTAAGAACTTAACTATAAACAGACAAAATACATGGCAATGCCATGAAACCAGCTTTTCAAAATGGAAAGATTGTTCTCTTTAAGTGACATAATTTTATTATTGTATCAAAGTGGAAATTAAACTAAACGTACCTCATGTATGACTTAGTGACAGATGAATGCTCTCAACAAACTGACATCCCTAACTGTTACGGAAATATTATAAATTCTAGCTAACATTGGGTATTATAAACCTAGAATTAATGCCAGGGGTCAACACCACCTCATCTGTTGGATAGACTCCAATTATTCAAACCCATTAGTCGACTCTTTTGATCATACAGGGATAAAAGATGGCCGCAATTCTTGCACCTCAACCCTATAAAGCAACCCCTCAGCCACAAGGGGCTTGAAATGTATTAATACCCTAATAAATACTTTATTTTCAGATCTGTTTGAACAAAGAATTAACATTATTATTTTACTCCAAGGTGTCAATATGACTTAACAAATTTAATTCCTTTCCTTAAAGCAGAGTGAAATTTAAACTGATGGTAGGGTATCTGTTTATATAAGATAGTAATACATAATTATATTGTAGATTATAATGTGAAAGGTTTAATGAGCTAATATTTGAAAATTTTCAGATTTAATTTTATATGCAAGTTTGCATAAAATTTAAATTAAAAAATCTCTATTTAAAATGCACTTGTGCCTGTGAGTCTCTTGTGCATTGGTTTATGTCTAATTACTTTAATACAAATACAGATCATTTCTGTTTAAAATGTATGCCTTTCCTATTATTACTTCAGCAATGCAGCAAACATTTTCAATCAGTCTAACAATACTGAAGCCACATAATGCCATATGCAGTCAACTATCGTTATCTCGACATCGCTTTTCTCGATATTTCGTTATCTCGATGAACTTTTGAAAGTCCCGATTTTCTTCCTTCTTTATCTATATTGGAAATATTTGTTAATCTCGATATTTTTATTTCGATATTTTCAGTATCTCGATGTAAAATTTCAGCCCCAATAGTTATTTTCACACTATTATCCTTTGTTTATCTCGACTAATAATTTTCTTTCGTCTGTTCATTCAGACATGTGAAAAACACAAACTAGACAATAATTGCTCAATAGCCTGTGTCATAATGAGGATTATGTTTGTAACAAGTTAAGCTGTTTTTATAAAAGTTCATCTATTTAGCGTGTTGATTGACTTATGTCCAAAATGAGTGAATTTTACGTTTTTAATAAATATTCGAACACTGTATCAATTCATTATGACTTTAGTAAATGAAATAGTGAAGGTATAGAAACGCTATCGTTAAAAAATTGTTTCACAACATTACCACCAAATCCATCAGCGGTGGAACAATCTTGATAACTAACCCAGGAGGATATTTGGATGAACCACCCTGAAAATTTTATTTGACATAAGGTATGCACATGTCTTTTGTAAAAATCAGTTTCTGCCTTATTCAAACCCTTATATGTTTATCTCGATATTTCGTTATCTCGATATTTTTTGGACGGTCCCGATGACTTCGAGATAACGAGAGTCGACTGTATAAAAGCCATCAGATTGCGATGTGGAAGATTTTAAAGAAGGGGGTTTAATCAAGTTAGAATTGTATAATTATATGTTGTACCATTTAAGAACATGTTAATGGATGATATTGCTTCACACCCTTAGTGTGAATTATCTTTTGAGTAAATTTAAAACTGAATAAAATTGTTGTTAGATATTTTGACTTAACTTGTCTAGCTACACATGCAAAAGAGTTGAAGACTGACTGAAAGCTGGTGACAATAATAATTATGCTTTACATCATAATTATAACTATAAAATACTAAATTTATATTTCAGATATGCATTTCTGTTGTTTTTGTAATGTCATTTGTAACTACAAGGACTTTCAAGATGGAAATCAATAAATTTTTGTCAGTTTTGTCAGAATATGATGCAAGTGCAAAATGCAGGCCCAGGCCTGGCTTCATGTTTTGTGCTGCCATATTTAGCCAGCCAAGTAATATTGCCAGCACTGATATACAGATTATTAAGGGTTTGTCATGTACAATCTCTTCCCTACAGTTTTAAATAATATATCTACAAGCAGGAAAAAATGCAGAAGAAAAATATACATTTGCAGCCAGCATAGAAAAAATATAACAGGCTTGTTTTTACCTCCACCTGACGTTGAACGTAATGTGGCTGAAATCAATGAACTTTTTATATTAGTTAAAAAAAAACATACTAAATATCTTAAAATGGACTTGCCCATCATGGGATTGGTCAATCTGGGCAAAACCATTCATCATTTTAGGGAAAATTTCAAAATATGTACTGACTGTCAATAGTGAATAGTGCAAACCATGACCAGACCTCACGGATGTGCCGGCTGATCTTGGTCTGCATTGGTTGCATGGGTAGAATCTGTTACTGGGTTTTTGCTTATCAAGGCAAGATTTTTAAACCGACAAGACTAATCTTTGTATGAACTGCTGTCTTAAAATAGACTAGAAATGGATTTTTTTATGTATTCCAGTATCTTAATCTACAAACAATATTAAATTAACAAATCACCACAGTGACTTGACTAGTTTTAAGTTAAAAAATTAACTCTTCACTGTTGGTCCATTATAAGTAACAATAATACTGAATATGACAAACACACAACCTTTTATAAAGCAAGTAAAGAAAGTTGAAACAATGTTATTGATTCACAAAAGAAAAAAAAAGTGATATTATATATAGAAACAAATAACTATGCGTAACATATCCCTTATGCAAGTAATACCTAAAAATGCATCCAAATTAATTTTTATTTTTTACACAAATTAAAAAGAAAGCAATAAATTGGTTTTCATATTTTTTTACGCAAACGGGTCACTTTTTCTTATGAGACACTTCAGAGAAGGATTCTTTCATGTCTTAAAATAAACCCATTACCTTCTTTCCTTAGCTAATTGTATTTTATTTCCATAGATCTATAAATGTCATTTTGTATGATTTTGATATAAGACCCCAAGGGCAACATAATTATGTGCTAACGAAAACAACAATGCTATTTTATCTTTGCGGTGTCTATGATATTTCTTACTGTATTGTCTTACTGATCAATATAGAACAAAAAATAGACCATAAGCTTGTTATAAATAGAGATGTTCTTGGGAGGTTAAACTATAACTTAATTTGTTAAACAATTTTGCTATGATAGGATTTCCAACAGACTCTGGGCATCCAATTTAGTGGAAGTTTGGGAGTCATTTACTCCTGATTTTGGCTTGTGATTTCCAAAATAAAATGTTTTTCCTTCTTTACCTTTATAATATGACTTTCAATGTCAGACAATTTTGGTCTGTGACTTTCAAATTTTGGTAGTTAATGGGAGCAGGCTGAACTGCAATGTATTCAAGTTTTAAGAAATTTCAATTTTCGAAACAAAAAAAGTAAGCTACCAGCACCATAGAGCCCTGAATATGTGCAGGATTGGCTCAGACTATACTGATGGCAAAGGCTAAATTGCCTACATTCCTAGTGGGTTAAGATTTAAATTCAGATTTAACATCCATTGTCATATTTAATACGATTGTTCACTTCTTAAACAGTCCAGACAGAATAAAACAATTAAAATAATCTTATTACTGATGTACTTCTAAGAAATGTCACATACAATTCTAGACTTCTTATATCAGACCTAATGAGTTACTTCTAATCTGTCTGTACACATTATATCAAACAGTAAAAGTACAAGCTTGCTTAATAAATGTTATCTGGAACTCCTCAAATGTGGGTTTTCCCCAGCTAATCAGTAGGTACAAACAAACGTTTACTGTTATAGATCTATCATGTCTATGGTGCTCTACCCATCAAAATAGATAAGTCAACCTCTTGCGCTTATTTTTGAAGCTGTAACTGTAAAATTTGTTTGTACCTTTATATGAATAAGCTGGGAAAAACCCAAATATTCTTAATTTCAGAGTAAGTTTATTTGGGTATCTTTGTCTGGACCTGTTATAAACTTTTATATATTTTTGTATATATCATACCCAAACAACTGTTTCTAATTTCATAGATTAATTAAACCTATGAATGTCTATGAATGTATTAGAATATTTGTATGTTTAAACATATATTATGTATTTATTTTGACATATATCTAAAAACGAACTAAATAACACTCAAATGAGGCCTTATAAAATCTGACAACAACTTTAAAAGAAATCTACAAATCTACGTAAGAAATTTCCTACAAAATTCTTTTTTATGGTTTCATTTGACACATAGATGAAACTTTGTTTGACAGTTCTACAAAGAAAAGGAACCATGTGAGTTCATAGTAATGCTATTGAACTTTCGAGAAAAGAGTTATGACAGTGTTGCTGTGAATCTATTATTAGAATTAAAGGTGTGATCCACTACAAGTGTTAATTGTGCGTAGTTGTTTTATTTTTAGATCTAAACACTCCAAAGATTTAATCATTGTGGTCATGATCTTAGAACAAGGATGTTAAATACAAGAAAATCATCTATAAATTACTTAATATAGGCCAAGAATATTTTATACATACTTACTGCTGGTTTTTCCCCCAACACACAGGACGTTACCTAACAATTTGTTGCCTCAGTCATAAAATTTTTAACTATTAAATAAAATGTTTTCCCAATGAACTAAATAATTCTTCATCAAGTAACACACCTTTGGTATTTTGGTGTTCCTTCAGCTTTTTCAAGGGCCAAATAAATGCTTTAAAGTAAGTCTCGTGGGTGATTATAATTATCTTATTTCCCCGACTTTTGACAAAATAATTATACAATTTATGCTAATATGCAAAAAAGAGTCATACCAATTTGTGTCAAGATTAATTCAGGAATAATAAGCCATATATATGTATCAAGCAAAAATTGATCTTTTCAGGGCTAGCTTAATCAAATGGTCAAATGATAAAAAGGTCAAATATCATACTATAACGATACCAATCAATGGATTGTTTTCTCCTTTATGGACAATATTTGACCAAATAACAGTTTCATAAATAAAGATCTATATAATATAATATTCAATTTGGACTGATATTGTCTTTAAGAGAAATCAAGATTGTTTTCTTTATTGCTTTTAGATGATTGTGTATTTGACCTGATATATCAGATCTAGACAGGCCATTATGAACTCTCTATTTACTGGTTTCAGTTTCATTATCATATCGAATTCTAGTTTATTTCATTTTAGTTTGCTGGCGTTTCTTGGCTAAACACCAGTTTCTTGGCTAAACACCAGTTTCTTGGCTAAACCCTGTCAGGGTTTAAACCCACACAGCCAGAAATCCTTATATAACTAGTCTGACGTGTTAACCACACGGCAACAATGCTAACTTAAAATGTTTTCTGACTGATGGAATAAAAAAACCTGTGAATAAAGGCCCACAAAGGAGAGACCAAATATGACCATCAACAAATGACCTTTATTTGGAGGTTAGTTTGTTCTTATTTATCAATGAAGGATGGTCAAGGGGTTACGAGCCGCGTCACGACAAAACCAACATAGTGCGTTTGCAACCAGCATGGATCCAGACCAGCGCAGTCTGATCAGGTTCCATGCTGTTCAATTACCAACTCTATTTCAAGTAGAGAAACTGATAGCCAACAGCATGGATCCTGATCAGACTGGGCGGATGTGCAGGCTGGTCTGGATCAATGCCGGTCGCAAACGCACTATGTTGGTTTTGTCATGACGCCGCTCATATAGAAATTCATAGATTGGTGTTAAACAATTTTTGACAAAATTTACAACCTTGTTTTAAGATTATTTTTTATGATTTTGAAAAAATTATTCACACACAAATACCTGTTTGTCTGCACACATGGATGCAAGCAGTCTTTTATTATTGAATTTCTTAAGAATACTTGCAAACATGCCTGTAAACTTGTGATGTCCCTATACATTATAACATGAAATATAAATAGATAACAGTGCATCACATATAATCATCAATATATAACTTATATCATATATAACCATTATATCTGTATAGAATTTATCACATATAACACAATATCTATATAAAATACACAAAAGAACCATATCAATACAATATCACATATAAACATCAGGGAAGACAAAGTAATACAAAATATCACATATAAACATCAGGGAAGACAAAGTAATACAAAATATCACATATGAACATCAGGGAAGACAAAGTAATACAAAATATCACATATGAACATAAGGGAAGACAAAGTAATACAAAATATCACATATGAACATCAGGGAAGACAAAATGATACAAAATATCACATATGAACATCATAGAAGACAAAGTAATGCAAAATATCACATATGAATATAAGGGAAGACAAAGTAATACAAAATATCACATATGAACATCAGGTAAGACAAAGTAATACAAAATATCATATATGAACATATGGGAAGACAAAATGATCCAAAATATCACATATAAACATCACGAAAGATAAAGTCATACAAAATATCTCATGTAAACATCATGATAGACAAACAGTATACAAAATATCACATACAATGTATAACAATCATGACAGACATATAGTAATATAAAATATCACATATTAACATCATAGCATTACCATTATTACAATCATATCAATATCTGCATATCTATTTAAGAAGTTGCCGGGTTTTTTTTCTTAAATTAAAACAACTAAGAAATTAACATTACAAATCTGTAAAATTCAAAACTTCTACTTTTTTCAAATTATTTCAATCCATCAGTTGAAAACTAAATTTCAAAATTTACACGTCCTAGTCCAGTGAACCATATAATTTTATCAAATTACACAGTATAGGAATAAACTTACGAAGTATAGGAATAAAATTTATGAATAATACATACAGCATCTAGTGTGTCATCAATAAGATAAACGCTGCACCTTTCACATTGTAAAAGTTCCTGAGCATCGAGCATAATTTTCTGCACAAGTTTCTCAAGGTTTTGTTGTTCTTCAAACACCCCTCGTGCCAGGTTGAGCAAAAGCTGTAATATATGACAATGCCAAATAAGTATACTTAATTCTGCGGAAAAAAATAAGGCCGCAGATTTAAAACCCTCATATACAGGTTTTTAGTTTTTATTTGTAGCTGTCTGCACATTTTATCTAAAAATAGAAGTAGATCTGAACCGTTAAAATAAAATATGTCCATCAGTGATTATTTTTCTTACCTCTGCTTCCTACACCCAGAACACAATAATTTTGCTGAGGATGCATTTAGTTTCAAACATGTAATGGTGATTTTTAGGATGCATTCTTTTTATAGGCAGGGAGTCCTGCCTGCCATTAACACCAAATTGTGTGCATGTTTTGTCATAATCATGACACAAAGGGTTTACCTTTGAAAAAGGAGATTTTTCTCTTATTTCAACAAAATGTTATTACACAGTGAACCCATGAATTGCACTAGGGATGATGTCATTAGACAGTCTGTTTTGAATTTGAGGCCACCATTTTTTGTTTTATTACATACAGCATAACTTTTCATTTGAGCAGCACTAATCAAGATGTTTTAGATTTTGAAAGGAGATTTTGGCTCTTTATTACAGGATACAGCATAGACTTTTTTTTATTAACATACAGATAGACTGTTTGCTCAAATTTGAGGCAGCCCTAAATGCATTTCAGATGTTTCAGTTTATTTTTGGCTTCTTAAAGAAAACCCTGCTTCATTAGTAAGTTTTGTAGTTAATTTGCTGTTGTTTATTTTATGAATTCTGGGGAAAGTCAATGCCATATTTACATGAATTACCCTAATATTTACATATTTAGAGAGTCATTAAATCAACAATGAGAGAAAATTACTTCAGACTTCAGGGAAAAATAGACAAGCCTTGCATGTTTCTATTACAATGTATATACAAAAATATCTTTATGAGGTCAAGGAACTCCAGGGTACAATGACTTGTATATAGGTACACTTGTGTACATGATATCATTATATTTCCATGAATGTTTACCTTATTGCGTTGATATTCTTGAACAGACATCTCAAACAGTTGAGCATTCATTATCCCAATTCCACAGAACATCAAGTACTTCCTGAACATCTGGAAAACAACAATAATTGGTATAAGTCTAGTAGATGCTATCTGTTGTCAGTTTGACAAATCTAAAACTTAACATGAGAAAAAGTAGAAAATCTATTTCTTTAAGCCAGACTGGCCATGACCTTGGTCAAACTGACCTGAAAGCCTGCCCAATCTATGTACAACAGATGAAGGGAATTCTGTACCAATAATTATGGTATTAATATTTAAGTAAAGGCAATAAATGTCATTTTAGAAATAGTTAATTTTGATAGAAAGGTTAATCAGACAGCTCCAAAATAACGCCATGTTCTCGGATAATACAGTCAACAATAGATGATAACTATTTTTTTACCTTTCAATCAATCAATCAACCAATCAATCAATCAATCAATTAAGCAATCAATAAATTAATCAATCAATGATTACCTGTTAGTAAAGCATTTTTGAAAGCAAATCAGATTATGGGCTGTGGTTTATAGAATTAAGACCAAAACTGAGACAATTTTCTGTTTCAAAGAAAATGTCAAAAATTATGACTCCTATGTAATTTCTGAATAGTAATGCTGATGGGCATTTATACATTGTGAATAAAAAAGTTTGTCAGTGTACTTCTTAACTTTTCCCAGGAGAGTACATTTATTTATAGCCTACAGTATTTAAATAAAGATAAAAAAGTTTATTGAAACGGTCTAAGTTAGTCCTAAAGTTGGTTTTAGGCTACACTTAGGACTTTCTGTGAAAGGCAGCTAATGGAAAACCAAAATTGCTTGTGTGATTTGAAAAATTTAAAGGTGTTACAGAATATCAGAAAATAGCGGCACCTATGTTTTTATTTTGATAACCTTTCACAACATTATTTATCTACAAAATGACAAAATCTAATGTGCAACAATAAGTAAATTTGATATGTTTTTATTGTTTGTTTTTTTGCTTTTGTTTCTTTTTTATGACACAAATTCCACAGCATTTCTAACTTCCATAATTATACCATTTTTATTGAATGCCTATTTGTAAGTCATGGACAAATTATATAATTGATTGGCTAGTAATAGGTCTCTTGAAAAACCCATAATAGATTGACAGTTATCAAAGGATGCTGATGCTGTTTATGTAAAATGATGTGAAATTCAGTCAGGTTGTCTATTATTGTTATAACAAATTTAAATAGAAATCTTTCAAACTCAATTCACATTTTTTTCAAACTTTCATTCTATCTTAAATATCATTTATATCAAATAAGCAAATTTAAAAATTGATGCTAAAATAAATTGTTAACACATGATTGTATACATTATTTTTAAAGTATATTTGTACTTGTACAAATCAAGCAATTCTTAAGGTAATAATTTATTCATTATTTAAGCATAAAGTTAAATGTTATGCCTGTACAAGGTCAATATGCAGTACAAAAATCACTGTTACATAATTTATTAAATAAAACTTGAGTCATGTGATGAGCTTGACTATATCTTGCTTAGGGCGAAAAGAAAAATTCTGGTCTTATATATAACCCCAACATAAAGATAGTGAATAGGAATTTTTTTTTATTATTATATTATTTTTATTTAATTTTATATACACATGTTAACGTATAAATGTATATGCATGTCATGTACATTGTTTGTAATTTGTTTGTTTGATTTTATGATGCACCAACACAGCTGAGTTTAGGTCATATGGTGCAAAAACAGGAAAGATGATTTTGGCTAACCTTGGGTGTTACAATCTTCAAAGCAACACCAGGGGTCAAAACCAACCCACAAGTGCTGGAGCTAAGAGATGCATATAGACTCCAGTCATTCAATCCAATTTAGTCATCTCTTACAATCATGCAGGTATAAATGGTGGCTCACAGCAGCAGCGATTCTTATGCCGGCAACCCTTCAGACACAAGGGGAGGAAAGTCAATAAATATTCTAGGAACATCAGTGGAAAAAAACAAAGGGTAGTAATTAGAGAGACCCAAAACAAAACTTTTTTGACACTTACTTAATTGGGATTAACTTAGGGAAAAAAAATATAGCAAAAATTGCTAATTTGGGAAGAAAAAAGCTAGTGTTAGTCCAGATTTTTTTGGAAAACTGCATGACTTTAAAGAAACTCAGTTGGGAAGAGTCCTTTCATAGGCCTTTGTTATATAAGATGAAAAATCACTGGACTACAGATTCAGACCCCTTATAGGGTCTTTTCATAAAATAAAGTAATTCACATAGTACTTACCTCAACATCCTGTTCCTCAAACTCGTGATTGCCGGTAATTTTGTTTATAATTTGAGCTACCCCTATCACTTCATTGTCATGGTTTTGAATTGGCATGCATAAAATACTGTGGGTTCTGTACCCTGTTTTAATATCAATATCCTTGTTAAACCTTGGATCCTATAATAAATGTATAAATAAATATAGATAATATATAAGTAAAAACACAAAAGATGTTTCTGAAACATGTACATCCCCCACCTTTGTGGAAACCAATCAGTTGCTTTGACTTCTTATTAAATTTTGTTAACTTTTTAAAGATCAGGGTATTTTTCTTGGTTGGGTAAAACATTACAAGACACAGTTTAGGTCATATGGCGACCTTCCATCTTCCATTTTTCTTTAAAAGTGTGTGTGTGGTTGGTGGGGTGGGGGGGGGAGCTTACATTTTTTTGCATGTACTCTATTAATATCAGTGGGTTTTTCTATTTAAAGCTGAACATAGGCTGTTTCCCATGGTCCAAAAATGCTGTATTTTCCCCTAAAATGCTTTATTTTCCCCTAAAATGCCCTGTGTGTATTTATCCTTAGAACAGTGACCCCTTAGTTAATTATAATAGACTAAAAGACAGACTATAGATAGTGGCTGATAGCCTATAGATAGTACCAAGGATGTTAAATTGGAATTAATTTGAAAATTTGATTAAATGTGTGGCAGCTATTAATGATAGAGATTCCCTTTCTTATAATTTATTGTGCTATATTTTCCCCTTCAGAAAGTCACAGGTTGTTTTTGAAAATTCAAAACAAATATGAATATTATTATGTCCAGTGATTTTCTTTTTCAGTTTTTCAAAACAATCTGTGGCTTCCTGAAATGATATATCAGAAAAGGGAGAAGGCCCGGAGTGTAATCAAATTCTAACAACTCAGAATAGAATTTACCCAACATTTTATAAAGAGATAGCTGAAATGAATTTTTCAACAAGTTGATATAAGTCAGCTGGTTTTAAGTGATGGTTCTGAGTGGCATTTCAGGGGAAAATATACATATTTTGGACTGGGGGAAACAGTCAATATTCGGCTGTGAAGTACAGGGGAAAAATCACTGATGCTTTTACAATAAATAATATTCAACCACATTTGTTAAAAAATGTCTTTAATTTTATATCCACTTTAGCGATTCTGTCTATTTCAGTGTAATTATATATATAATTTTGCTTAATTCCAAAGAAAATTTAAAGCTTTTTTCAAGTTATTTGAATCACTATTAAATGTAAGCTTCCCAGATCTTACTAACTAGTACTACTGATAAATGAGCCAGAGGTCACATGGTAGAGGTGTCATCGATAAGGATTTTTGTATTGATATATCGGTAATGAATTATCGGCGATACAGCGATATATCGATTGCCAGGCTAAATTTTAGCTTTCAAGTCTTTTTAAATGTTTCCTAAGGACACTGACAAAGCAGTTATATATAGACAAATGCAAAAAAGATAAACTATGAAAACTGAACAATTTGTTTCTTTTTTATCATATAGCTATAAATGAAAACTAATGACTAGTAACTATAAAGTTTAAAGCCTTTTCCATTTTACTTTAGTTGTTGTTGTTGCTATTACGTAGTTACTGATCATGCTAAATCCCGCCCTTGCCGTTCCAATTAAGCCGGGTTTAATTGGCAAATTATCGTGTGTAGAACCTGAATAATTATTTAAGTTTAACATTTTGTAATCATAATTTTAACAAAGAAACACTGACAAATTTTTCTTGGCATTTCTACACATCCACTTAGCAGACGTGCGAGATTACAACGAAATTAGGCAGCATTCGTTAGAGACACTGGGAGGTAACTTTGGCATTGATTTCCGTTTTCATTTTAGAAAAAAAATGTTTCTGGCATTCATAACTTTATATGTCGCTTTTATTTTGATGTTTTGCGACAGTAAACAGGTCTGTCAGTTCTATAAAACCTGTTCGCTGAAGTCTCTTTAGCTAGAAATTATATGTGCATTCCATATCCGATATTCAAAAAATGGAATCGATATCGAATCGGATAACAAATATCATTGATACACCGATATCGATTGAATCGATGACACCCCTATCACATGGTTATGACCCAAGCTAGACAAGGATGAGAGGCATACACAGTCTTTATTATCCCTTGTGATTCTGTGTGATGCTAATAAAACTGAAATGTTTTAAATAATCTAATTAATCACACAAATATTAAAAAATACACCTCATTATACTAAGTAACTCTGTATTATCTACGCAACTCTATTACCAACATACTCTCAGTATTTTGTAATGTGCGGTCATGCATACATTGAAGTTAAAATTCTTTGGCTCCATTCAATAAAAATTGTAATGATTAGTTGAATTTGTTTGGCTTCACATACAATATTAATCATTAAATTCATCAATGAAATTCAATGCAGACATACAGGAAATGTTTAATATGTGGATAATACAGAGTCCCATGCTACATTGTCAATGTCACATGGATTCTTTTGGTTACCTCGTAAGCATCTTTGATGTTAACAGCTTCTTTGGTTAGTGCTACTGTTCCCACAATCCCTTTTCCTAACGGAATTTTTATTTCTGTCTCTTCAGTATGCAACGAATCTTCCAGAGTTGAATTTTCCGTCACATCAAACAGTTTTGATACTAAAAGCCTATTGTCTTTTGATCCCCTGACCAGAAACAAGCTCCCTCTGTCACTACCAGTCAAAACACTAACATTACGTAATATTTTATGACACAAGACATTTACGTCCAACTCACTTGCGATGTCTCTAATGAGTTCCATAAACATTTCTGACTCATTCATAGCTAAAAGCTTATCTCTTTGCACAAGAGATCGTTTTCTTTTTCTCACCATTCCATCAACATAATTTTTGAACATGTTTGAAGTGATAGAATTTCTAGCTGATGCATTAAACTTTGGTTTCAATCCAGGTGCATCAATGTTTTTAATTCTGTACATAAGTTCTGGCGTTGCATGTTTTTTGAGCCAGTTTTCAAGAAACTCAGAATTCTCCAGTAGAAAATTCTCCACATCCTCTTCATTCAGATTTGTTTCCATGTTTGTACCATCCATTTTAAATGAGTATGCGCTGTAAACAAGACCTTTTTGAAAAGGTTATGAGCTAAAGCTTTCCCTCATACTTCTGACTGCAACTTCTTCCTGAAAAAAATGTAAAGCAATGTTGTAATTAGACTTGCAGTGTTTTATTTCTTGATGTTAATGGTTGAAATTAGAGCTATCATCGAATTAAAATTTAAATGTCTAGAAATGATGAAAAATCACCCTTAACATATATACAGAAGCTGATGTGCATGTCTAATACTATATGGACATATTTCTTAGCAAGTGATAACAAAATTTGGTTAGAAAAAAATGCAATGGGCATTTCTAAACAAGGTACAGTGCACTCCGGATACAGGACTTCGCATGATTCCACGTTATAATTGGGTCTCGTTATAACAGGGACAGAACAAATTGAGAAATCCGACATCTGTTGAGCATCACTTATTTCTACTTTCTAAAATAGAAGGAAAAAGGCCGGGACACAGAAGAATGTACGTTATAAGCGGTATCTCGTTAAAACCGATCTCATTATAAGTTGAGTAGACTGTACATAATTGTGTGAAGTAGAACATGTATTTTTAATTTACTGAATTTTATTTTAAAAGGAGTGAAATCAATTATAAGTTATTATCGATATTTCAGTGTATCGTGGATACAGTATTTGTCATCTGATATCAATATATCATCAATATGCTTTCATTATGCACTAAGTCAATGTCAGCTCTAGTTGAAATTATATATTGTCCAATGAAATTATTCCAATTTTCAAATTCTTAGATATTTTAAATTCATTTAATCAGAATCAACTGAATGTCATTTTATACTATCCTATATCATACTTGCACTTTGTAAAGATTCAAAGATCTTAGCCACTAAGTAGGTTAGTGTTTGTTAAGTTATTAATTCCATTAAATCTGTCGCGTGACAGAAAATATTTAATTGCATTTACGTTGACTTACATGTATACACTAACCTATACTTCTAGCTGAAATAGGACCCCATTCACAAAGCCAAAAAGTATTGTTTTTTCTCAATTGAATTTTGTGTAATGAAAATTCACAATGGTCAACATGTAATCAGGGATAGAATTGTCAATGATTTAAAACACAAGAGAGAATTACACTATAAGAAACTGTTGTTTAATAAAGTATTACTGTATCTCGATTCAAGTCATTTTCAAAACATTTTTATTTTGAATAGTAGGCCTACAAAGTATTTATATTTTAAATCTAACAATTTCTCTTGGTCTCCAAAACTTGTTTTACATGTACACTTTGTTGTGTTTCTTTGTTTAAAACTGTCATCTCGATTCCTTTTAAAAATGCAAGGTTATTAAATAAGAATATGTTGATGTTTCTGCAGTGTTTTTATTTTTATATAACTACTACCCTAAAACGGCACTGTTCCCAATAGAAAATAGACATTAAAATTCCCAATTTCCAATGTTTAAATTCCCAAAATGGCAGTTCAAAATTCCCACAAGGCCAAGAGATTTCTCTAAAATCATTATAATCCAAGATATTCATATAAATCACCACTCAATAGTTCTACCTGGACAATGGAAGCTGTTAGTTATCTTTATTCATGATGACTAATCTTATTTGTAGCTGAAAAAATGCATAATAAAAATTCCCATTTTAAGTCACAATAACACATTTTTTTCTAATCAGTCTAACCATTCCCAAAGTATTGAAAAAAAACGCTGTACTGGCCATGGGTCATACAGGCACCTAATTTCAGGTTTTATGGTGCCAAAATTCAGCCGCATACTGTGACCTCCTCGATTTATATATTTTTCCCCTATTTTTGAAAAAAAAACTTGGACCATCAGAAATTTAAAGTTGACCTAGCTGCCTAAAGCTGAAGATCCTTGAGAATATCAAATTGAAATTAGATTTTTGCAAAGTATAGTATGTAGTTTATAAAATACATTACAAGTATTTTTGTTTACAGACAAAATTCCACTACCTGAGGGCCCCAGCCCCAATTCCCTGTAAGGTAATTAGGGCCTTGGAAGATTGAAATCAAAATATTATCAAGTAATTAACCTTATCTAATTTGTCAGATGGCATGATTTAGATTCCTATCTTCTTGGACTTCTTCTACAGCAATTTAAAATATTGATCATTGAAGACATCAGTTCTTTTTTAATATTTGGAATAAAAAATCGGCTACACTTTGTTAGACTCAATTTAAGACATGTCACGAAAAGACAGACTGTAAACTGGATCAAATTAATGATGCTGAGTGGCAAACTGGGGGAGGGGGCAGGGTGTGGAGGTCATAATAAGAGTCCTAAGTTTCTAGTTGGTAAGACTAAGGTGCATGCAACGAACAAAGCAAACAAACAAAAATAGACATATGTTTAGTTATAGTGTAAAATTTAGTACCGCTAAGCCCACATAATTTTTTGTTTATTTAGGAGGACCCAACCACTTTCTGTACCTCACATGCTCTTAATTTAGGTTTTAAAAAGAGCACGTCCCGATTAAAAATGAATTTAGGCCTACTTAATAAATACTTTTTATAGAAACCGGTGGATTTAGCTTTTGACATTATTTCCTTGAAGCGATTTAAAAGAATTTTCATAAACAGCCGCCATTGAAACAAAATTCATTTTTGACGTCACACAAATCAATGAAGGCTTAGCCTAATATAATGACGGGATAAAATGGACGGTTTTTACATAACAAAACCCCTTTTATCTGTCCCATTTTTAAAATGACATTTATACAGCTTATCAAATCCGTGCGGAATACCCGACAAGGAGATAAGATATGAGTTACAATAAAATATGTAATTTATCACTGTTGACTGTGAATAAAAGCCTTCTTCAATCGTGTCAGTCAAAATGAGATGATATAAAATATGTTACAGAAATTCAGGATTAATGTGTCGAAGAAAATATTATACGGAGATCACTCTCCACTACGAAAATAATTGACTTCATACACATTTCGTGTGAATGTTTTCCAATTAATGTCAATATAGTATTCTTAATACACGCCAAATGACTGTCCCATGGTTAACCCAGTAATCGTGCAAGTGCGAGTTGCGGAAACCGAAAAAGAACAAAACGTCAGGTTGGATTGGAACATTGGAACCCAAGACCTACGAATAACGAGTCGGGTGTTTTCCCGCTCCATATCGCTTTTTTAAGAGAAAAGTAATGATTAAATGAAGAAAGAGGCACGAGTTTTCCAATATGGTCAATGCCATAACTATATTGAATTACAATTTTATTTTATTTTATAACTTCAATGATAATTATGATTTAAATAAAAATATTTCTAAGTTATATTGCGGTAATCTGTATAGATTTAGCTCAAAGGGTAGAGATAATGCATTTTTCTTTTACATTCATCTAGATATTAAATTAGAGAAGGCTAATCAAAAGCAATAGATTTCAGAAAAAGTGTAACAGGAAGCCTTAATGAAAAGTTAAAATCGTGAGTTAAAAAGTTCCCTGATCAATTTTAAGGCCCCTGTTAATCAAGAAAGGCTGATCGCTAATGTTGCCCAATCCTTTTGCTATTTGTTTAAGCGTTTAAAATATTTTTTAGATATAAAAATGAAAAGCTCTACGTGTAAAACGATAATTTTTACTTTAAACTGATAATTTATTAGGGCATTCACAAGCAAAAATCTTTAACATCAATACGACAAAATATTCAACATACCTGACTTAAAAGATAAAGGAGGATTTATGATTACGTAATCTTACACCATATAAAAAAAGCAAAAGTACAAATATTTACCATTTTCCTCTTATAATAATACACCGCTAAATTTCGCGCCAATATTTGTTTACTTAAATGTTAATGAAAACATTAAATCCACTTTAAAAGCAATCATCCATTTTTACTAAGTCACCTAAAACTGGAAAAATGATAATCCACCATTCTATAAGAACGCGGTAAATATTTGATCTCACATGTAATTAAAATCCCCACGTGTAAATATAGTTTACATCTGTGTCACAAGTCTACATGCAACAAATACACAGGAAATGATTTCCGTACACAGTTAGTTCACTGGCAAAACAATCTATACTAGAGCATCCCTAGGATACAACTCAAATTCCCGCGTTACATCAGCTGGAGAATACAGGCTTTTAAACAGCACGGATCGATAGTACGATTTGATTGAACTACGGTGGGATTAAGAGAATAATACATGTGATAGATTGTGTAAATACTGCGGTAATCACATCACAAACTAGAGTTTGTATAGTATATTTAATAAGAAAACGTTTTCTACGCTTAAACTCGGTAGAAATGGAGTTAAAAGGGTCATTATCGGTCAACACTTGTTTGCACATATTTGTTAAGGTTTACTGTTCATATTTGATTAAAATTATGAAAAATATCATCCCAGAGCCTAGTTATTTTTGATGTTGAATTTTATATAAAATGTATTTCACACGTTAAATAACTATGACTGATCACACAGAGGCGGATGTGCGTCAGTACAACGTAAATACTTAAGTGTTAGGCTAAAAATGGAAACGACCTTGTCTGGTAAAAAAAATCATTCGATATATGAATACATCTACGAAGTATTATCTTAATCGCCAGTTTAATAACTTTTACTGCCGACGGAATCATATAGTAAAATATTATATTTTAGATATTTATCAATTTCGCATGAGATAATTGTTTAACACACCCAATTAGAAACGTTCTAAATAAAAAGAATTGCAACCTCGCCACATGCCAATATTATATGAAAAATTTCTGCCTCTCCATTATTTCTCAGATTCGCGATCTATACCATAATTTATGTTTAAATGGTGAGAAGAATTCATTACCATATCATGTAGGTTAACAAAGAGTGTCGTGAAGTTAATTCATGGGATATGTAAATAAGTTCCGGAGCTTCAGTAAATCACATATGCATGGATTGTTCGAGTCTGTAGTAAATAAGACTCAATGAAACTTGATGCCCATTTGCTTCAGGAACAATATTTTTATGATAGCTCATTAATTTGAGGCATCACCTCAGTATTTTTATATTTTTTTCTGGTCCTTCGTCGAGAAATAAGCACACTTTTCCATTAATATCTATAATGATCACACGCCATGGATTAGAGTTTACGAGTTTACGATTTTCAACTATTTGCATTCACTGCTGTCGAGGGATCTATGATTTTTAGATTTTTTCCAATTAAATTATTCATATTTCATAGAAGGTCAAACTGATATTTAGTATTATAGATTTTTCAAATAAATTCCAGATAAGGTCCCGAAGTAAACTGTAACATACAAATGTACTATTTCTGTATAAAATATGACAATATGCAATTATCAAAATTTTCAAATAAATTGCTGTATCAAATGCCCTGTGAACATTATGCCTCAGAAATGAATATATTTGTTTTCGTTAGAAAGAGCAAACCTGAGTTTTATAACGCGTAAATAATCGTTACAGAGCATGTTAGATGCTTATTACTTGATAAAAAGTAGCACTGTTAGTTGATTTTTGAAGCAAAATGTAAAAACAGTAGTATTTGACTTCCATACAAATTACTTAATAACTATAATTGTTCTACTTGTCAGATAAGGACAGAAGTAACATATGGTTAATGTAATTGTCAAATGAGTAACTTTTTTATGTAATCAAACAGAACACACAAAAAAGTTTTTTTTGAAATAAAAAGGCCCAATATGGGCCCTGAAAAATGTATAAAGATTTTTCTATTTCATAACATTCATAAAATCTAACGGTTGACTGTAGAACGAATTGTAACATAAGATGTCTCACATACGAGTACTATACACAGCAAAATATTATGTAACTATTCTAATTAGGATTTTAATTGTTTATTCATATTTTTTCATGTATCTTTCCCTTTTAAGCAAATAGACAAATATATTTCTGTCATACACGTATTTTGGAAGTATTTATATTTTTCAAAAATTCAAACAATAATTTTGTAAACCACATGCTGCGGATTAATAGCTTTATACACTTTAAAAATTGCTAAAATTGTAAATAAAAAGTGGGAAAAAACATGACAGGAGAGAAAATTGATTCAAAATTGCACTAAGGACAGTAATTGTCCACTTAAAATGATTTACTATTCATTACACATGCAGATCTAAAAAAAAGAAAAAAAAAGAAAAAAAAAATTTTCCTTGTGTCAGCTCAAACCTTAGACACTTAGCAAAACACTTATATCCTTAGTTTTTACACAATATTATTAAAGTACATTTTTGTAAAATCACAGCATCTCAAGAGTAAAACAATATTTTAAAGCTGTTGTAAACAATAAAACTATTCTGCAAAGAACGTTAAACATAATTTACAAACCAAAGTAAAAAAGAAACGATTCTGATCTAATTGCGTTGTGGTTCCCTGTAATAATAAACAGAAAAATTCTCTAAATAAGTGTACATATGTCACTGACTTTAATAACTATCTTTAAACAGATGCCATAAAGTGACTTGTGTTCATATTAAATAAGATCCGTAGCTATGTATAGTACAGACTTCGGGGATGCCTGAAAAGATCAATTTTGAAGCACAACTTAGTGAAAATTTATCTCTATGTATAAGACAGTTACACAAATTTTGAATTGTATAAAGGTAAGATATCTCGAAAGAAATAGAAACAATTAAAAAAATATAGAACACCCGGAAAAATTGGAGACTCACTTTCATTGGGTCTGTTCTGTGTAAGGTCACAAAGGTGCAAGAGCACCGGCTTTAGCAATGTTCAATCTAATCGTCAACAGGTCACTGCACCAGTGCACAACGAAATTTGAATAAGTCCATAAATGTGAGTCAATACGACAAATTCCCTAAAGTGATTTTTAGAACAATAAACCAAAATTTCCATTTTAAGTACTGCCAGGGATGACCGAATGATAAACATAGAATTGATGGGTTATTATCGTAGTTGTATTATTTTATCTAATCTATGATCTTGCAAATCATTTCATACATTTCATGCCATTTGACGGTCATTACAAGAATTTAAACAGATTATATGATTCGATTGATTTACTTTATACAAAAATAAACAATTTTTACTGATAAGTATGCATCTATGACTGTAAAAACCTGGAGTCTATTAGTAAAAACATTTAAATGACAGTTGCTGATTCGGTTTTATTGAGTCTGTTCGTGTGGGAAAATGTAATGTGCAACATTTCTAAAAACCCCCTCTCACACCGGTTTAAGCGGTTTTCAATCCTTGAGCCTTAAAGTATTTGAATAATTTATCATAAAAAGGACCAGGAAATAAACAGTCACAGACGTCATGCTATCATTGATATTGTTTTATTTATATAAGCATGTAGTGTAATCTTTAAAAATAAATGACAATTAGAAATTGGCAATACGTAGTTCTATCGTTTTTTTTAGCTTAATATCGCCATACATCTGTTCTCAAAATATACGATGGATCAATCAAAATGTGGTACTGGCATTAAGATAATTTAACATGCCGCGAGTTCTCAGGGTTTCTTCATTTTTTCGAAAAATATAGCAATTATTTTGAAATGGAGCCATACTCATGATAGTAACGTGTCAAAGAGAAACTTAATAGATATCATTAATGCTGCAAAACGCAAAATGATTCTACATTTCCCTAGACAGACAATCCAAACTGTAAATGAATTATTGCTGTTTCAGAGACAAAGCTCTGCTTGTTCAGATAATTAATTACTGCATTGACGTCATATATATGCTGACTTGACAATCATTCTTTGAATTATTAATTTAACCCCTATCATTATTAATATGTAAAATGAACTTGTTCTACATTGTGATTCAATGGTTTTGTATGAAATGCGTATCGTAGTTGTCAGGGTTTTAATATATGAATTAAATTTCTAGCATCAAGCAGTCGACATTATAGAGTTAGGTCCGACCGTATAATACGTGCCCGACTTGTCTTGCAATTATCGGCACACGATACAAGACACACGGCATGTCAAGATCAAGTCATCTCAAGTACCAAGTACCAGAGATGATTGGTTAACCTGTCGTGACTTATTCGCGAGGGATGCTCTAACAAGAGCCGTATTTGTTAGAAACGTGATGCCTTGGAAAGTATTGTCGACTCCCTCCACTAACGAACGGAGAAGAGGCTACAGATCAACTGTATGAGAAAGATTTCCCCGATGTGACTACTGAAGTGGACCGGCATACACGCTGATGAATCTCGGACATATGGTTAATTCTGGGGCAGAGCATAAATAAACTTAACAAAACATACAACATCAAAATGATTTACATTTTGCCATAATTACTTTCAATCTTATCATTTAATTCACGTGAACGATAAATAACTCATATGGCTTAAGGAAATGTCTATAAATATCCAACGGAATTTACATGTAACCTTCAATTAATAAAAATAGTCGGGCAGTCTTTTTATATCTTTAGTAGATTTATATTTTATCCTTATTTAACATTTTCCAATATCAATATTGTTTGTCAATACCCATCATAACTGTCATTCTTTTGAAATATAGATTTAATTACGTTCAACTTGACAATGTGAAATAAGCCTAATGTAAAACATAAAATCGAGATTAACCGCATCACTAGCAGGCCTTTGTTTAAGAAAAAACGATTTTATTTTATTTACATTTGGTTATAAACTTCGATCACATATTACGATTTATTGATTTATTTAAGTTGTTTATTTTCTTAAACAAATACTTTAAATGTAAAGTTATCTCTGATTCATGATTTCAGAAATGAATAACTTATTGCTATGGAACACGTGTTTTATATCACAGGGAAGGACATGTGTTTTAAAATTATAAACTTTTTTTAGTCCTGGACACAATAGAATCAAATTTCAGAAATTTAGCACGTATTGATGTCTTTATAGCAGTTTTCCATAATTACAAATTAGCATATTCCTAATAAAAAGTAATTTTACGATTGACAATAGCTTTATAAAATTTTATAATACTGGTTAAATAAAACCAAGCTATTTTTAATGGTTCTTTGTAACTTTATTGACACAGTTAAAAATTCAATGTTGCAAAATGCAATTTCTTTGAATTTTCCTATCACTTTTTGATATTACTGATTAATATGTGTTCTTTTCGGTCATTTTATAAATAATAAAGAGAATAAGGTTGCAATGTATCTGATTGTTTATGGTTTGCTATATTCTTGTGAGGAGTCTTCTTAAAATGAGGAGAAGGAAATATTCAACAGAATCTTTGCTGCAAAATATATAGTGAATAAAAACTCAGAAATGTTTAGATCTATTTTAAGCAATGAAAACAACAAAGTACATACAAATTGCTGACAATGTTCGTCTTGTCTCATGGGAAGTAAAATAGTGCAATATCTCTTACACCCCCATACCACCACAATAAACTGTATTCGACTTTCATCATGTGCTGGAAT